GACACATAAGTTACACTTAAAATGTCTGTACTTCATTGCATTAGATATAAACTATCAAACCAAGTGTAATTTATTTGAGAAAAGATAGCATAAGTACAGTGTAACTTTAAGCATATTCTCCTGTTATGTGTATAACTGCAACAACAGTGCAGTTATGCTAGAAAATGCAATAGAATGCAATCAATTCAGAAGGATAAAAAGAAAAGTATACAAGTCTTTTTGTGTTGTGTACTGACAGACTTTTCTGTTTTCAGGCTACTGCAATGTCAGTGGACTGTCTCGGCCAGCACGCTGTTCTCTCTGGGTTTGTACAGCCTGCATTACACGCTGCAATTACATCCCATTTCATATCTGTTTTAAATTTTCTAAATGCCTTTCTGAATGCATCATCATACGCAGTCTATTTACTCTTTCACTTGTGAATGCTTTGAACAGGAGACGATTCTTATATGTTGTAAATTTGGAGGCGCCGTCTGAAGCCCCACGCAAAATCAGCCGCCAGAGCAAATGGGATGTTGGGACAGTCCAGTGGAATCCGCACAAAACCGAGGCCCATTTATTTGCAGCATCTGTACGTTAAGAAGATATTATCTCCTGCTGATTCATGACAGTGTCATATTCATGGTTTCGCATGTCTACAGAATAACACTTTACGATAAGTTTCCATTAGTTAACTACATTAGCTAACAAGAAGTAACAATGAAAATACTTCTAAAGCTGAGTTAGTGGCTATCTGGTGTGTTAGCGCTTATGTTATTAATTTTCTGTATTGTCATTATACATTTTGTCATCTCTGCAGAGTAATCAACGTGTCGACCTGTACGTTTGGCACGATGGATCCGGTGAACCGCATACATCTTTGCAAGGCCACACACGTGTTATAAGGTAACACATTCGACGTCAAGCTGAAACGCTGCTTATGAAATCTGATGATTTTGTCTTATCCCAACAATGACTAGGAAGTGCTTGAGCAAACCTTTAGATTCTCGCCAAATGTAAATTATACTGTCGCCCAGCTCTAAACTACTAAATCGTGTGCAATTAAGCATTAAGATGTTATAAACATTGAAATTATGAGTCTCTGTGCAGCTCCTTTTGTGTTACAAAGTGTATTGTGAAAAGAATTATAGAAAGTTGAGAGTATAAATAATATATTCTAATAGAACAAATAATTGTGATATTATAAATAACTTTTCAGACTGTTTTACTGTTTCAGTGATTTGGACTGGTCATGGTTTGAACCGGAGTTTCTTGTCACGAGTTCTGTCGACACATACATCTACATATGGGACACAAGGTGAGCGTGGACAAAGAGTGCATGATAAAGGTGATTTTTTTTTCACCATATTTTACGCCTTTCTTTCATAATTTCCAGGGACACTCGAAAGCCAACCGTGGCTCTGTCTGCCGTGGGTAAGTGTAAAAACTTAATGAGTCCAGATATAACTTATCAATAAGGTTATTTGATCTGCAACATCTGTTCTTTTATTTATTGTTTTTATTTTGTCACGTTTATTCTGTATAATAGCTGGAGCCTCTCAGGTGAAGTGGAACAGACGGAATCACTATTGTTTGGCGTCAAGTCATGATGGTGATGTCAGAATCTGGGACAAGAGGGTGATTATGTTACTTGCTGCATTATGAATATATAATCATCACTGGAATCGGTCATCAATTAATCTGTCTGCTTACCGTTCTTTGCTTCAGAAACCCAACACTGCAGTGGAGTATGTAGCCGCCCACCTGTCAAAGATTCATGGTCTGGACTGGCATCCTGATAACGAGTACATCCTGGCTACTTCCAGTCAGGACAACTCTGTTCGGGTGATTATAATCTCAGTTATTGATCGTATTGTTCTATTATTTTGCTGCAGTTGAACTTTTACCTGATTCTGTGTCTGTATGGATTTACTCCAAAAGTTCTGGGACTACAGACAACCCCGGAAGTACCTTGATATCTTGTCATGTCAGGTGCCTGTGTGGAAGGCCAGATACACGGTACAGTTTGAACCATTATTTAAATGTTCAGTTTAAGTATAATATATATATATATACAGTGGTGTGAAAAAGTGTTGGCCCC